ATTAGAAACTGAGAAAGCTGAAAAACGAACAAGGGAAGAATCAATTCAAAGCTGGTAGAACGATCGGTACCTTGACGTGATTTCGTCTAAGGCAACCTCTGCCATATATCCAGCAGCAGCTCGTCAGTAGGTTCTCCATCGTCACGCTTCATCTTGAATCCTGTAAAACTTCAATGCAAAACTCACCGCCAACGCTCTTCTGGTTCGCAACCTAGCAACTCACAGCTTAGTAGCCGAGTTTGAATCATGTTGCCGCCACACTGAACTGCAGCCCGAGATGCTATTCACTTACCCTCTGCTATCGCCCGACACCGCCGTGATCTTCATCGACTCCCGTTCAAGTGCTCTGCCACCGCGTAGAGGAGATTTACCTACAGCTCGGAAAATTGACTGAAATTTCCAAAAACCTAGCTCAATGAAGAGAGAAATAGAGAGATGTCACTCGGATTAATCAAAATCCGAAAGGATTCCGTATCTTACACACGGATACGAGAAGAATACTAGGATTACTTGTCGAGCCAAGAGTAGAACATAGAGGAGAAGATGAAATCCGGCCTGTTTCGGCGAAGTAGAGATAAAAATCTGAGTGCCACTGGCGAGGGATTGACTCCATGGCTAGGATTGGAGCTGAGCTGCAAGTTCCTAGTTAGGAAGAGCTTCAGCAAATCAAAGCGAGATCGCTTCCAGTTCGACAACGGAGGAGAGATCACCGCCCCTGCTGGAGGCGGTGCGTCATCTATTTCATCCCTCGATGATTTTATCGAAGAACTCAAGTCGTCGACAGAGCGTATGGAATATGGAGAATTCGGTGGAAAGTGAGGAGTTGAAATTTATTTAGGGGAATCAACTTTACTTAATATTGAATAACTCAGAGTAGCAAAGAGGAAGAAGAAGAGGAAGGGAAGAGGAGAAGTGAAGTGAAGTGGGGTTCTCGAATCTCAATTGGAGGAAGGTCGGAAGGAAGGGTGAGAGAGAGAATATAGTACTTAAATTTTAAAGGAAGTAAAATATAGTACTTAAATTTTCATTTAACATCCATACAATCACAACCAAATAAATTAGTTGCTGGAAACTTTTTATTGCATTTACAACCAAAATATTTAGTTGGGAAAAGTCAAGATGATTTTGATACCAAAGTTATTTGGTTGAAAATTTTAAAAAAGATTTTGCTACCAAAATTATTTGGTTGGAAATAGTAAAATCTATTTTGCTACCAAATTATTTGGTCTTTTCAAATTTTATTTGGTTATCAATACTTTAATTTTAATTGACAACCAATTTTTTAATATTTTAGCTACCAAAATTTAATTGGTGGCGTATAGTAGCCTTTTCACACCCAATTTTAATTTGGTTGTAAAGTTTTTGGTTGCAAAAGCTAGTTTTTCTTGTAGTGTGGTCTTTGCATGATCACGGGAAGTATAACATGGGGATGGATATACTAGATCAGGTTACAAGATAGTGGCGTTCGACGGAGGAAATGATCAAGTCGATCCGACGTACAATTAAGTACTTTCAATCGTATAATAAGGTGCGTGATTAAAGGGGGTTAGAGTAGTTTTCATTATCAGACTATGCAATTAGTTCATGATATGCATTTCGGTTCTTTCTTTATGTTTCAGTTATTCCGTATACACTTTCATGTTAAGTTAATTGATTAATGTTCAATCTTTACTCTAAGTTAATCATGCATAACATCATGACGCATCAGTAAACTACATACAAGGCAAGCAATACAAGTCTGTTTCTAAGCTAATCAAGTTAATAAGTGATAAGTTCAGGTCTTCCCATTGTGGGAGAGATTAGCATGCTTACTCAATTATGTATGCAAGTATATCTTAATTATATTTTTCCATGAGAGATTAATTAAGGCATGCATGATTAAGCCATCAAAACAAGTAAGAACAAGATAGTAAGTAAGGAAAAATATCAAATCTCACTTAGCTAGCTGCACACAGTCACCTCGCTCCCCATACCGATTACCGAGGGAGTATATCATGTACAGATCCCCACTCGAGGATTGTAAGGAGTTGGTTCCCCACAGACATGTAGAGCACGTGATACCTTATTTCCCAGGTGAGGAAACCATGTTATTAGTAAGTAAGTTGGTGATTGTGACAGTGTGCTAGTTAAGTCGAGGTCGGGGCCCATTGTAAGATAAAATATGCAAGACACTGAGAGAGTAAACAAAAATTGCAAGCTCAACAATTTCTAATAATGTTCCCAATAGTGTACCTAAAGCATGACATGTGCATGCTTGTATGTTGGTATATGATAACGAATTTAGGTTTAGGACTGATCTCTTCGCCCACATTCATGAATAGTAGAAGCTCAAGAAGTATGCTCAGAAAGTCGGCATTACATCTTAAGATCAGCGATTTCAAGGACTCTACTATGAAGTTCAGTTTCTTTCTACGTAACGTTTTCGCTTTTTTCACGTATTTAACGTTTATAATTTATTAAAGACATTTTGATAAAAGTAGTGCTTGATCAAGTTAGAGTGTTTACATTCTGATCTTAATTTATTAAGGGCATTCACGTTGAACATTTTTTATGGTTAAATAATAAAATTGCATTAAGAACAAACTCATTGGAAACCCCAGCTGCGTCTTAAGCCAATACAACCCTCTCCAAGTTTATACTATCTATCTATACTGCTATACCCACAAAACACTATCTACCAACCAAAACCAATCCTATCTAGACCATCACACAAGACCTGATCAATAGCCACTCAACATCTCACAATGCTGATTGCTCTGCACATCACGACTCGAGACAACTGGACATTTAGCAATTGAATCCCTATACATCCTATCTAGAGGTGAAAATTGGATTGGATTAAATGGATTGATGAATAGGATCAAGTGGATTGGTGGATTGATCCATGAATATAAATGACATCCAAGTCTTAGATCAATATGTAAATTTTGCAAAGTTTGGGTACTAAAATGTCATAATGAAAAGTTTTAGGTACCAAAAAGTAATTTTCCAATGATATTTTCCGTATGCAAATTTAAATTTTGGATACCAAAATATAAAAAATAAAAATTTTACCAAACCATAATTTGTCATTTGGATCCATGAATCCACCAATCCAATTGGATTTGGATCAAATGGATTGGATTTAAATGGATTGTATTAGGTGAATAATTTGGTGGATAGATTAGATTGAAAATTGCCACCTCTTCTACCACATCTCTCTCCATATTAGACTTGAAGATGTACTCCAAATCAACGTTCCAAGGCGAGCCTCTGCATTTTCTTACTCCATCTTCGGTATCCCAATAGGGGTGGAAATCGGTACGGTATCGGTATCCCAATACCAAATACCAAAATACCGAATACCGAATTACATCCTAAATTCAATCTCAATCCCTAAATAATTTCGGTATCCCAATCCCAACCCATAAATATTTCGGTATCCCAATCGGTACTTCGGTATCACAATAGGTATTAACGAATAAGAAATTAATTAGATTTGATTGCTTAATATAGGACAAAGAGACTAAGCAAAGAGTCTTGAGTTTGGCTAGAGCTAGGATATGGATAAGGAGAATGGAGGAGAGGTGACATCTCAAGTTTTTGTCATTGGTAATCTTTAATTTGATGAATTGGAGGCTAAGAGAAGACTAATACTAGTGTTTGTTTTTTTATGTTATGTAAATAACAATAGATTAGTGGTTGAGGGTCGTGTAGTATTGAACGAGAGAGTTTAGTTGAGAGCATAAAATACACATTAGTTTATATTTCGGTATTGTTCGGTATTTCGGTATATACCGATCCCAATCCCGTAATCCCTAATACAGAATAACAATTGAAATTGAATCCCAATCTTAATCCCAAAAAATAATACGTGTATTCGGTAATACCAAATATAAAGAAATTTGATACGGTATTTAGTATCGGGTACCAAACTTCCAACGCTACTCGCACACCATGTAATCACACTTTTCCAATCTTCTAGCTTGGGATAAATGTGCCCCCTGCAAACATGATTCCAGCACATATCTCGTATATGAACACGATCATAAGCTAATTGAGTTCCAGACCCGACGGACATAATATTTCTGCAATTTCTCCCCATTCCAAGCAAGGAATACTTGCTTGGGATAATAGTTCCAAATAGGGGTGGCTATACGGTCCGGTCTGGTTAAATTGGCTCAAATTGATCCGGTCCAGTCCGGTCTTTTTGAAAATATAAGGACCAAAGATTGGACTGGATACAGTCCGGTCTTGACCCAGTCCGGTCCCAACTCGGTCTTGATTTTATATTGAGTTTGTGGGGATTTGTGGCCTAAGTCCTGAAAGGGTGAGGAGTTGGTTTTGTTTTGTACTAAGGGGTCGTTTGGAAGTTGCGAATGTTAAATCGTTGCATTGTAATGAATCACCATAATATAAATGCATGTATTGATACAATAGATGTATTTTAACAATACATTGTTTGGTTGTTGAGATTCTATTTTATGTATTGATTTACATAAAGTTATTTTATGGGGAAATGTCACATTTACCCTTAACTTTTAGAATAAGACAAAAACTATTAAGGATATAAATGGAAAGAAAAAGTTGACACAAATCTAAAACCAACAATCACAACAATCTCAACTTTTAGTGATTGTTGACACTTCCAAACATTGTATTGTGCACAATACATGTATTCAACAATCACAACTCTAACAATCACAACTTCCAAACGACCCCTAAGTGCAAAGGTTTGTGACCGTTTATGCAAATTACCCTTAAGTTTTGGGTGTTGAGCTCTCTTATCCGGTCTTTATCTAGTTTTTTATCCGATCTCGAACGGTTTTTTACCTCAAATCTAAGCCCAAAAATTGGATTGGATTGTTTACTATCCGGTTCCGCTCCGGGTTATACAGTTCGGTTTCGGGTAAAACCAAAAACCCCTGATCAAATAGCCCGCCGGAGTTCCAAAATTATCGTTAATGGCGACTACTTCTGCTTCGGTGCTTGCCCATGCCATATGCTCACTTTCCCCAGCCTTTCCTCGATGTTCCCCATTTCTAACCCTAACTCCAACCACTAGCAGTACCTCTGGTTTTGTTTCCCCGAACTCCGTCGCACTGAGGCTCACAAAGCAAGGTTTCCTCCCCCTGAGCTCGCAATTCCACAACCCCAAGACTCGAAACTCTCCTTCCGGTCTGGCTGTCGTTGCTGCTCAGTCTAATTTCTTGAGAGGTTAGCACTCCGATCTTCAAAGTTTCGAGAATTATTTGAAATTGGGGGGTCAAATGGGACTTTCCAGTTGAAACCCTGTTGCTCGACATCGGAAATTTGACTGCACAGAGACAGAAGCAGAATGCAAATGGCAGAGCTCTAAACAGCATTGCTAATTTTCTTTCTTTTCTCCCTTCTAATCTATGTCTTTCACAATCTGAACAGTTATCCAAGCCGTGTGGAAGGTTGGGAAGGATGGCATCGATGCGGGAATCAGGCTAGTGCCTGTAAGGTTTCCCCCTGCATCCTATCCCAATTGGTAGCGATTGAGAATCACTCTTTCTAATGGAGCTAGACTTTCCTCACAGGTCTCCATTCCAAGGCCCATTGCCAGAGTTTCAGTGACCGTTGCTCTGCTCACTGTTTCTTTCATTCTGCTGAAATCATTCTTGTCTACAGCGTTCTTTGCCCTGGTATGTATAAATGTATCTCTCTTTTCCCTTTGCGATGTGGACTCTGAAGTTGCAGAATCATGTTTTTGAAGTACTGAAGTTTTTGTCCTTTTGGTGACGGGGCATCGAATAAACGCTGTATTCTCGTCTTCTGCTTAGGCTACGATGGGGCTGGTATATTTCCTGTTCATTGCCTTGAACAAAGATCAAGGTCCCAAAGGAGGCAGAGTCTCGGACGCTCCGACTTTTTCATCAGAGGAGGAAGCTTTAAAGGAAGCTCGAAGAATAATGGAGAAGTACAAGAAATAGTCCTGGCACAGGCTTAGCAGCAGCAATGAAGGAATGTTTCTCCTTCTCATATATTGGTGTCATAGGAGGAGAAGGAGAAATTGCCTGGTGGAAGACGAAGTACACGCCGAAAAAGCTGGCCTCATATCTTCAACTGGAGGTTCATGATCACCCTAGAAGCTCAAATATCTGAAAGGCTCCTTCTTGGTATTAGATCAGGTGTATCATAGATTTGCTGTTCCTTACATCTTTATATTACTAATACAAGCGCTTCTACAGATTTTGGGTCAATGCCACTCTTGAAAATACACTCCCCATTGCTTCGAAATGGGCTTCTATTTATTTCCTTGTATTTGTTTGCTCACACCTTCATTGTCAGATTGAGGACATACATGACGAACAAATTGCATAAAGCTGATCACATAACCGAGTAGGATGTTCTTTCCATTACTTTTCTTATATATTACTTCTCCATATCAATAACACATCGCAGGCCCTCCCCCTTCAGCATCAAGTCAAAGGCCTTGTTGATTTCTGAGAAAGGCACTCGATGAGTTATGAACTTGTCGACATCCAGCTTCTGCAGAGGGAAAACCTCATCCACTTCAGTGAAATGCAGGGGCAACGATCATGGGGTTGGAAGGAAGCGAAGAACTGTCTTACCTTGTTCATATACATTTCAACGACAGATGGAAGGTCGGTTCTTGGTTTATAGTTCCCGAAGAAAGAGCCTTTCAACGTTCTCTCGCTAAGCAAGTTGATGGGTTTAGTCATAAACACTGCCTCCTTGTTAGGGACTCCTACAAGGACTGCCACTCCCCATCCCTACATGCGTAGCAATTCATTTAAACAGTATGAAATTCAGCAGTGGCCTTCTTTGTGCTCGTCTTAAATTTAACTTACATCATGAACACATTCAAAAGCTGAAATCATTGCATTGATGTTGCCGGTGCATTCTATGCTCCTGTCAACGCCGCCATCGGTCATCTCTGCAATTACCTGGAAATGGGTGGTAATATTTCATAAGAAGTTCAATTTTCGTGCAGAATCAGCAAGGAAATGCCGACCTCTTGAATTGGTCTGTCCTGGTCCTTCGGGTTCACAAACTCTGTAACTCCAAACTTTTTTGCTGAAAAGTCCAGGTGGAATGGAAGAAGGTGAGCTGGTCAGTGCTCTTTACTTAAGAGGCGTGATTCTGTAATGACAAGCAGACAAGCAACTCTTACCTTCCTCAAACCTCTTTGGATTCAAATCGATGCCAATGATCCTGGATGCTCCAGCAATTCTTGCGCCCTCAGCAGCCTAAATTAATACAGTTAGCCAACATGTCAAGGTAACATTCCTCACCATCTGCAGTATCTTCTTCGATGTTACTCAGCAGGACACAGTTACTGTTTGTTGAAACTTACCGCTAGGCCAACAGCTCCCAGACCAAAGATGGCTACTGTTGAACCCTGTTTTGGTTTCGCCACATTCAACGTGGAACCCAGTCCTGAAACGGATAGTTCATTTTGACGAATTTTTGAAGTTTTGATGACTGGGGTTATGAGGAAAGCTTCATTGAGAGGTAGAGTTACCTGTTGAGATGCCACAACTGAGAACGCACACTTTGTCCAGTGGTGCAAGTGGATTGATCTTTGCCAGACTACCTGAATGCACAACCGTGTACTCACTGAAGGTAGAGGTGCCGAGGAAGTGATGTATTGGCTGCCCGTCGATTGAAAAACGGGATTTTCCGTCGTTGAGCATGAAACCTCTGTCGGTGTTTATCCTCAGCAGGTCGCACATGTTGCTTTCCTCGGACTTGCAGTGCCTGCACTGTCCACATTCTCCTGTGAATACCGGAAGAACATGGTCTCCGACCTGGAAATCATTAACCCCTTCTCCAACGCTCTCGACAATTCTGTACAGCAACGGGAATCAGTTTAAGAGTAAACAACCAAAAATAGCAAGTTTCATTCACATGTAGCAGAAGATAAAGGAGGAATGCAATACCCAGAAGCTTCATGGCCAAATATGCGTGGAAAGAGTGGAGTTTGGCCCTGAAACAGCAGATGAGAAACAGGTTCATGTAGTGAGTTAAAAATTGGGAGCTTTTTTTTTTATCTGAAGTGCCAACTCTGAGGGCTATGATGGATTTGACGTTTTCATTTTGGACCACCAAAAGTGTCACAGTTCTGTTCCATACAAGACGATCCTGAGCATGCCACATTCACACACCTGTTGTGTCTGTAGGACATGGATGTACATAATCAAGAATCGAGCTTGGAAAGTGATTTCAAAGAAGCAGAAGACGCTAAGCCAATAAAGCAGACAAGTATGGCGGCAGGTTCACATGTTCCTGCTCTATTGAAGCCACATGATGTTGGCAACTTAAGTTTGAAAGCTAACTAGAAGGGACCAGATATGCTTGAGAAAAATCTGCAGTAAAAACTCTTAGAAGGGAGTCAAGGGACCAACTATATGTACTTTTCCCTGCAGAAAAATCATGGTGGTAGTTAAGTTTAGAGTGACTGACCTTGGCTTCCCAGAAATAGAGATCAGTGTGGCAGAGGGAGGTGTACTTAATCTGGATTCTCACTTCCAATGCCTGTGGTGGAGCCACTTCCACCTGCTCCATCACTAGCGGTTTCCCTGCTTCCCATGCAACTGCAGCTGCAATCAGGCAAACACCAAAAGAAAAAAACCCTTGTTAAAGCAAAGGGCCGAGCACCGGCCGGCCAACTGGGAAAGTGGGAAAAGCCCACCGGGAGCGCAGAAAGCTCTGCGCTTTGTTGTGGTAGAATAGAAGTACCTTTGCAGGGAATGATAAGGCCCGCAGAACTGGACATGGTGGGCTCTGGAACAGGAGTTTGAGTTTTGCGGGGAGAGAACTCACAACTGCTGGTAGCTTGTCTGATGATCTTGTTATACTGATTGTTGTGAAAGACCGGTAAGGCTTTAATCATGCGACGATACATAGTTGGTACTGAATTTATACGTGGAGAAAAGACAGGTGGAGGAGTCAGAGGAAGTAAATGGTCAACCTTACTGTCCCACAGCCAATTAGTGTACGCCTAATTGTCCACTTGTCAGGAAACCCAGGATGAGTCTCAGCACACAGGAAAGGAAGAGACCAATGATCTTAGCACATGAGATTATGGGAAACAATTGAAGGGCAGAGTGCTTTGTGGCCTTTGTTTTCGACAGAAATTCAGAGAAAACAGTGGACGAGAATAAGGTTTATTAACAAAAAATGGTGAAGTTACTTGGACACCCAATCGCTTCAAGCACTTTCCGCATCCAATGTGCCAATTCGGTTTTGAGTTACTTTGAAGCACGTTGGATGGCAAGTGCATGGCTTTTGGTTGGTTCTTTTCTTGTTAAACCCTTTGTTTCGGATGCCAAGAGTTACCTTCACGAAACCAATCTATTGTCCACGTGGATCCATTGTCCACGTGGGCGAGAGTAAGATGGCGCCGGTTTGGGTTGAGAAAGGTGAGAGTCGATTTGGGTCGGCTGGCCGAACCCACGGCTGACCAAGCCCACAAATTCAAAATTCAAAAATCAAACCTATTCTTTCCCCAATTCAGTTTCTCCGCCAGAACCACTTCGACTTCCCCTCTCTCCCACTTTTCCCCTCTCTCTCACTTTCCTCCTCTCACGAAAACGACGAAGAAGCAAGCGAAGCGGCGACGACAAAGCAGCGAAGCGGCGGCGACGGACCAGCAAAGCGGCGGCGAGCGAAGCGGCGGCGAGCGAAGCGGCGGCGAGCGAAGCGGGATTTCGGCCGCGACGAAGGGCGGGATTTCAGCGGCGACGAAGGCTTGTGTTGACGGCGGCGACTTTGCAGACGAATCGGCGGCGACGAAGGGCGACGAAGCTTGGTTTGACGGCGGTCGTTGAAGAAAGAACTACTATTTGGACTAAGGTAACTGTCTTATTTATACTTTGTGTTCCTTCCGATATTTGTTCTGTTCGGCAAGATATGCATTCTGTTCCTTCTGGATATTCGTTGTTTGTTGCCTGGGTTGTTGTTTGATGTATCTTGATATTGGTTTTGTTTGCGCATGATATCAGTTATGACTTTCTTGGATAGTTGTTTGATAGGATCTAGGTATTTGTATGTGCAGAGATTTATCAATGGCAAGGACTAAAACAACCAAGAGGAAACAGCCGACCGACTCCACGACAGCCATCACCACCGCCTGTTTTGTGTGCGTTCCGATATTATTTATTTTGATTATGGATATCCATTGTATTTTGTTTGGATTGTTTCTTTGATATATCTGGATATTGGTTTTTACTCAGCATGATATGAGTTCTGACTTGCCTGGATAATTGTTTGATATATCTGGATATTGGTTTTTAATCAACATGATATGAGTTCTGACTTGCCTGGATAATTGTTTGATATATCTGGATATTGGTTTTTATCAGCATGATATCATTTGTAACTTGCCTGGATAATTGTTTGATATATCTGAATATTGGTTTTTGATCAGCATGATATCATTTGTGACTTGCCTGGATAATTGTTTGATATATCTGGATATTGGTTTTTGATCAACATGATATCAGTTGTGACTTGCCTGGATAATTGTTTGATATATCTGGATATTGGTTTTTGGTCAGCATGATATCAGTTGTGATTTCCCTGGATAATTGTTTGATATATCTGGATATTGGTTTTTGGTCAGCATGATATCTGTTGTGAATTGCTTGGATAATTGTTTGATATATCTGGATATTGGTTTTTGGTCAGCATGATATTAGTTGTGATTTCCCTGGATAATTGTTTGATATATCTGGATATTGGTTTTTAACCAGCATGATATCTGTTGTGAATTGCTTGGATAATTGTTTGATATAACTGGATATTTGTACGTGCTGGGATAACACGAACGTGAAGAGACATCGACGAAATCCACCGCTGTCACCACCGCCACAGCCAGAGGAGGATGAGGAAAAAGAAGATGCTGAAGTTGCAGCGCAAGTACGTGCACAAGGAGTAAAGACCTTTAGATAGGGTTCAGTTTTCAAATACTAATTTTGTATCCGATTGAAGATGTTAGGAGTAAAGACATTTGCCGCATGTTGTAGGAACGGGCTATCCTCCATCATAATATAATGAACCGATTGTTTCCCATTGTAGTCTGACTCAGTCTCCTTGCGTCTTTTTTCAGCCAACAAACTACATTTACAAAGCACGAGAAAGAGTTTAGTGCCCAGACTAATATCCACTCAAACCAATATTAATATCTCAACTAAACAAAGTAATATTTAACAATAGCATATAAATATCCGGACAACGCTGACAAATTAGGAATTTATATTATGCCAACACATGTCAACAAATATCTGTAAAACCCAGACTAGTATCTCATAATGTCATACCAATATTCGTCCTTTTACAAAAACATATCCTGTCAGGTCATGTCAATATCGGCCCAAAAAATTGTTTTATGAGCCTTCGGCCCATGGGCCCTCGGCGGGCAGCCCTTACTAGGCTGCAAGCCACCAGACCCTAATTGTTCCTTCATATTCAACTTCCCGCCCAAAATTTCGGGCCGCCCCCACCAAACCCAAATTATTCCTTCCTTTTCCAACTTCCCGCCCAAAATTTCGGGCCACCCAAAAAGCTGCCCACCTCCCGCCCAAAATTTCGGGTCGCCCAAAAACTGCCCACTTCCTCCGCCCAAAATTTCGGCTCGCCCAAAAAAGTACTCACCACCTCCCTCCTCTCAGTGAGTATCTACTCACACTTTGTGCTGTGAGCAGTTTAACTTTTTCGTCACGAAACATAATGTACTGGTGTTAGACAGTGAGCTAGTATTGCATAATATAAAGGTTGTCAAACCAGTTTATACCGGTACGCCAATTTTCCAAATGGAATGTTTCTACCAATGGTACAATCCGTTTAAACCGGTTTTTATTAAATTTCAAGTCATGAATATACTAAGCGAACCTTCACTATAAAATGAACCTCATAACAAGCACCCATCATCTTCATCAGAACACAATCAAAAGAACTAAGCTAAGTGGGAAACCCGAAACCCACTATTTCAACTCTAAAAGTAACAACCCATGAATGATCATATTATTAACAAAATATATGAGGGCTTTACAGTGAGCAATTTCGTGTCGTTGGAGGATAAGAAACAACGGGCTTGGGCAAGTAGGGATGGCAAACCCATGGCCGCGGGTACCCGACCGCCCCCGACCCAGTCAACGCGGGTAATCCCCGTTTTGACCGGGTATGGGACGGGTGTGGGTAAAACCCGCAAAAAGTTTGATGGGTATGGGGCGGGTATGGTTTTAGCCTCCCCCGCCCCATACCCATACCCATATCCGCCCCACCAAGAGAATTTCTTCACATATACAAAAACATGTGGATCAAATTGTAATCTATCAATGGTGATGAGGATAACTCAAGGAAATAAATAGTAGAAATGTAATTGAGTGACCACCTTAATCAAAACCTAATTCATTTCCCTCAATTCTCCTTTCACTCTTTCACTTTCCCCCTTGTCAACAAGATTACGTTAGTTAATTATTACTTAGTAGATGTATCAGAGTTAGAACATAATAATTTATAAAATATTATACTCTATATTATGTATTAATGAATGTTTTTTAGGATCATATTCTTTGAACCGTATTAAGAAAATGATCGTGTTTTGTTGAATTCGTGATATAATAGGTACGTTTAGAGTTGTAGTTAAAACTTTTCTTGTAAATTTTAGGATAATAATGTTGGATGTATGGGTACGGGTATTACCCATGGGTACTCGAAACCCACGGGTATGGGGATGGGTTTGCCAAACATTCCCCGCATAGGTATGGGGCGGGTATGGGTTTGTATATTTGAAGATGGGGATGGGGATGGGGATGGTTTAGACAAACCCGCCCTATTGCCATCCCTATGGGCAACTTGTAAGAGGGAGGGATGCTTTGATTTTTTTTTTTTTTTTACAATCAGTTTAAAACGTCAGCGTTTCTGATAAGTGACCGGAATCTGAAACCGGTTGGACACCCAAAATTTTCGGTTTTGATTGAAATTGACTGAAATATTATACCGGAGGCATTCCAGTTGGTTTCACCTTTAAGTTCTATTTGAAAATGAGATTAAACACATAGAAACTACTATTTTATATCCCTGTTAGGTACCTTCAATTCTATCTTACAATGAGATTCTAATAATACATATAAACTACTATTTTATATCCCTATAAAATGGCTAGAATTGTAGTGTTTCATATTTTTTGAAAATATATTTTTAATGCCCCTATTAAATTGCCAGGAATAAAACATAAGAATCCAATGTTCGTTATAGACTTCTTCGACCAAATCCAAATTCGTTCTTCCCTAATATATCCATAAATTTTACCCTCATATCGTTGATTTGCCAAACACATAGCACATGTGGGGCGTAGGGGACGACCACATGAATTGAAGCACGTAGTCAACCTCCTTTGTCGATAATGATCGTGGGCACCCATGGACTGAGCAACAGTTTATGCACATAAAAAACCAATAGTATGCCTCTTTTGTCTCCTTATTCATTAGAGCACAACATATATTGAAGTTCCCCACATGAGTAACACCTACGACACAATCATGTACGACCTAGCCCTCAAAATATAGATGGAAGTTGGATAGGCAAAGAAAAGATGGGTAAGCATATTGTCATCATCTTTCAAATAGTGTATATGGTAGTTCTTATCTTTTGTTGCTTGCAACACATACTGGATTGCCTTCATCTCGCCATGCAGTCTCTTCTAATCTTGGAACCCATGTTGTAAAATTTCATGATGTCATGACGGCCTCGATCCCCCTTTTGATTGTTAATCGTATACTTCTGTTGCACCAGAGGTACCCCGCATTTCTCATCTTTGTGGTATCATCTATATCCTGCTAAATGAATTGCTTGTTTAACTATGGCCCTCCGTGTAAGCATCTTCTCCTGGTTGTGATAATCTTGCCTTAGTTCTCCTTAATCAACAAGTGTTTCTACAATTTTCACCTGAACATGAAATCAGTCCCTTTGGAAAGTAGGGCTGGCTATTTGGTCCAGGTTTTTTGGTTTTACCCGAAACCGGACCGTATAACCCGGACCGAGACCGGACCGTATAATCCGGACCGAGACCGGACCGTGACCGGATAGTAAACAATCCAATCCAATCCAATCTTTGGGCTTAGATTTGAGGTAAAAAACCATTTGGGACCGGATCGAAAAGTGGATAAAGACTGGATAAGAGAGCTCAACACCCAAAACTTAAGGGTAATTTGCATAAACGGTCACAAACCTTTGCACTTAGTACAAAACTTAACCAACTCCTCACCCTTTCAGGCCTTAGGCCACTCAAATCCCCACAAGCTCAATATAAAATCAAGACTGAATTGGGACTGGACCGGGTCAAGACCGGACTGTATCCAATCCA